AAAAAGAACGCAACAAGCAAACAAACAAAACTAAACCTCTAAACAATTGTAAAAAGTAAATGAAAATCGGTTTAACATGCTGAAATGCATTGTGTTAAAAGGCTTAGTAAAAGCAACCCCCCCCCCTCCCCCAAATACTTAATAACAAAAAAAACAAAACACTTTTAAATCACCTTTTCCAGTTATATTGACATATTTGTTCTTTTTTTTTTTTTTTACTTGTTTATTGTAGATTAGTTTGTGTGTGTGGGGTGGGGGTGTGGGGGTTGGGGGTTGCTGGTTGTTGTTTTTATTTAGGATGTCGAGTTTGTTGTTTTGGTAAAATGATAAAAGCTAACCTAAAATGAACCGAGAATACTTGCTTATCTTTTTTACCAGTGAACTATTAATTATAGAGAGCAGAATCCAGTTCCCTTCAGTGAAACAGACGTCCATTTGCTTACTACTTTTTCGTAAATTTGGTTCATAGTCTAAAATATCGCATCTTTTCTCTGTCCTATGAACTCTTGGTCTAAATCTGGCACGGTTTATTATGTACAAGCAATCAAAAGTCTGGGGTTTGTTGATGATGTTCTTATTTTTACTGTTGTTTTATGTTGTTGTTGATGTTGTTGTTGATGTTGATGTTAATGTTGATGTTGTTGGTGGTGGTGTTTTCCGTTCTTTTATTAAATCATTGTCTCTTTTCCCTCCTCCCTTCCTTTGATCTCCACACGACCCATAATGTTAAAACAAACAGCGACATATTGTGTATTATGCACTTCACCTAAAAACTGTTTTATCGAGGTATGCACCGTTGCGTTTCTGGTTTAGATTTTACAGAGCTCTATCTGTGCTTTTAATGCGCAGCTAAGCACATTTCCCTACCCCATGCAGCACCAGTACTGTTGTCTCGTAATTTTTCTCTCTCCCCCCGCTCTGCCTCTCTTTCTCCTTTCTCTCTACTGCACTCTCTATCTCCCCCTCTCCCCGTCACTCTTTCCTTCTTTCTCTCTCCCTCTCTCTCTCTCTCTCATTCTCTCTTTCTCTCTCTCCTTCTCTCTCTCCTTCTCTCTCTCCTTCTCTCTCTCCTTCTCTCTCTCTCTTTTTTTCTCTCCCTCTCCTCTCTCTTGCTCTCTCTCTCTCTCTCTCTCTCTCTCTCTCTCTCTCTCTCTCTCTCTCTCTCTGTATGTCTCCCACCGTTTTTACAGAAAGTTAATGTATTTTCACAGAGGAATGCATACAACAAAAAATGATAACAAGGCTAAATAATGTAAACCGTAAAACCCTTGAAATTTACGATTCCGTTAACCAGCAAAGCTTGTACCGGTTCTAAGGGGCACAGGCCAAATAAAGTATGTTCAAACTCTTACGGCTTTTACACATTTTGACTTCAGTTCAAAGTAACTTTGCTTCTGCATTTGATCAATCTTGTGCATTACATTTTATGACTTTCTAGGAATAGGGTCATTACCGAAAATGGTTGCCTGAAAGTTAGTAGCACTACAAAGTAGAACTACAAGGAGAATTCGCTTCATGCTCACCTCGAGTTCAAGGAAAAAAGAAATACCTGAACCATTACTTACTTCATTAGCATCGCGCTAAATATCTACCTGCCTGGATTTATTGCTAGTTTTGCTGTAGTGTGCACGCTATGTATGCTGTGGAAGACGAACGTAAAGTTGTGTGGTGTCGCTCAAGTTGAGTACGTTTTCAGAAGTGTGAATTATTCTGAGTGGAAAATTTTCACGCCTAAGCTAACAACGACGTTCAAACAGCAGCGTTTAAAACGGTTCAACTCCAACGAAACCGCACTGCGTTCTCGCATGCCTCAACTTAACTAAAGATAGATTGAGGGTTTTTCTTTGAGCATGCTTGAACTTCCCAAGCATTCGTTAAGCGCTTATGACACCTATGTTCTCTGAGAAAATGAAGGCAGGAATGTTTCCAGCTACGTTTTGGGGAGATTTGCAGGTAGATAAGATAAACATACGTTTTCACTGTCATAAAGTATGATCTTCTGGCGGTATAGCTGTGATAATGACCTAGCTGGCTCGTGTTTTAGCATCAAAAAGTTCAGTGTGCAGATTTGGATAGGTGATAATGTCCCTCTCCGATATGGTGTTCAGGTTATCGCGGACATAATAAAGATTTTGCAAGAGGAGACATGGATCTGAATATAAAGCAATGTCAACGTAAATGCTCGTCATTTTCAGGGCAAAGCGTGTGTGGCTAGTGAGGACTAATTATGGATAGCAGGGGGAATATGGTAAGCCTAAGAGTGTGTGTGTGTGTGTGTGTGTGTGTGTGTGTGTGTGTGTGTGTGTGTGTGTGTGTGTGTGTGAGAGAGAGAGAGAGAGAGAGAGAGAGAAAGAGAGATAGATATATAGATAGATAGATAGATAGATAGATAGATAGATAGATAGATAGATAGATAGATAGATAGATAGATAGATAGATAGATAGATAGATAGATAGATAGATAGATAGATAGAGAAAGAGACCGAGGAAGAGACCGAGGAAGAGAGAGAGCGAGACAGGAAGAGAGAGAGACAGGAAGAGAGAGAGACAGGGAGAGAGAGAGAGAGAGAGAGAGAGACAGAGAGAGAGAGAGAGAGAGAGAGAGAGAGAGAGAGAGAGAGAGAGAGAGAGAGAGAGAGAGAGAGAGAGAGAGAGAGAGAGAGAGAGAGAGAGAGAGAGAGGGAAAGAGAAGATAGACAAAGACAGAATGATAAAGATCCAGAGCAAGGAACTGGCAGGTAAGGTAATAATACACCATAAGTTGGAGGTACCATGAGACAAAAACGCGAAATTCCTTCCAGTAAAGCGAGTCGGTTCATAGTGTTGAGAAATAGAGTTCAGTAACAACAATGGGATGTGTCAGGCTATTCAGCTTTGGAGCATATGCTTTCTACTCCATTCACGCACCACAAATCATAATTAGCCTTTCACCTGCTACAGACTAAATGCAATGAACAAATGCGTCGTCGTAGATCATTAATTTAAAGACAACGGTTGAGAGCCAGTATTGTAACCCTAAACCACCCACTCGTCAGCCCCTGCCTCCGCCCCCCTCCCTCAAAATGGTTCAGATACCTTTGTTATTCAGCTGTTCATCCATGTTGACGCTCTCACTCTACCCCACCCCACTCCCCAAACCGCCTGGAAAGAGCAGAGTGTCAGGAGAAAAGGGTGAATAGGTATGTGTGTGGGGGGAGGGGTGTTTGCTGAGTGAGTGAGTGAGTGTCTGAGTGAGTGAGTGAGTGAGTTTATGTGTATGTGTGTGTGTGTGTGTGTGTGTGTGTGTGTGTGTGTGTGTGTGTGTGTGTCGTGGAAGTGGGGGTGATAACATTGCGTGGCAGCCTGCCATTTCTCTGCCAAATCGTTGACATAATTTGCATAGCAATGCCAATCTGTGTCGATTTTCAACTAGACATTTGCAGCCTGATGAACCGAAGAAATCAGGGCAGCCTATTTTGCTATAGAACCTTGTCCTTTCGGCAGAACTATTCAGCCTTTATGATTTTGTTCCGTTATTCACAGCGGTGAGAAGCGAGGTAGAGCCATTTGAATGCCCTGTGATTTTTACGGACAATGGATTTTCTCCTCATTTTTCTGAAACCGCAAAATATCAACTGATTATATCTGAAATGATTAAGATAAATACAGAAATCTGTGGCTTCGTTGTGAAATCAAGCCCTCGTCAAAATAATAAAATCAAAGGAATCGGCATTTTGCGTCTGTTCAAATGATGGGGATATGAGGGGCTCATTTTATGTTCTTTAAAAACCTGATCAAAGCCACAACCTCAACCCTCTCCCCCCACCCCCCGCCAACCCCCTTCCGTACTCTTGCAATTTCCAAAAACCCTCAAGTTTTAGAAATCAGTAAAGCTTTTGCGGCCATTTTCTCACTAATGTTTCCACTGACACAAGTAAACCCCAACCTCCTCCAATAACAGACTTCTCGACTTTTATTCAAGTTAGATGGGTATGCCTTCATCAAAGACAAGACACCTCAACACGATTTAAGGTGATACCAATAGCATCATAATAAATGCCCCAAAAATGACGAACGCCCAGTCCACAACGTCGTGGCTCAAAACAGACAAACCTGATCTAACGACCACCTGTATAAAACAATCACCAGTAATAATTGCTGCTTTCTCTCGTGCGTAGCTTTACTCTATATGGAGACTGTGTGAAACGACTATCAGTCGAATACGGCTACTTTTCTCTTAGACAAAGTGTGGCCGTCTTAGACAGTTTCGACAGTACGTTGAATTTGATGATTGCGAGGCGAAGTGATAAGGGGAGCCAACAAAAGAAGCTAAAAAACACTTCCATTCACTGTTCCCTAGTCACAGCAAGAATAGCTTACAGTCCCATTTTTCTGAATGAAACGTAGCAAATTGCTCAGAGGGAAAATTTCAGTGGGCTGTCACGAGGATATCCCTTTCTTCTATTGAGAATTCGAAGTATAATGTATTGTGGATAGTCATTGGATGTCTTTGCGTCGCACTGCATGCGTGACATTGCGCACTTTGTGAACAGCGCTTTAAATAGAGAAAATCGAACAGTGAATTCTTGTTTGTGGACTTATAGACCTTTATATTGTACTTATAGAAAATAGCATTCGTACATGGTATTATAATAGCACGAACGGGGACAAAACATTTCAAACCATCGATGAATGTTCGTTTCCTTAAAAAATAGCACTGCCATATTCGACGGATTTTACCCGCGTCGATTTAGAGATCGATGTCTTAGGCACCACAGACGCAGAACTTCCTGTTTGGAACGCAGTGTATTACATCACCAAGAAAAAAGGACTGGGCCTTTGGGAAATATTTTGAAACTATGAAATAACCTGAAATCTAAAAGATTTCTATTCCAAAACGTCGATAATGTAATGCTTTCAAATCTCAGTCTGATGTTTGGGTATTTTTCTTTAGTCGGCACAGATACTAAAGCAAAACAGCTAGTCTGCAGGCGGAAATAATACATTTTTAGTTGCTGCTGTGTGAAGTTGAATAATTTAAATTTGACAAACTCTTTCTCTCTTAAACACACTCTCAGATACAAAATTCCAAAAACTTTTTTGTCATCAGAAGTAGAAGAGGTAGACAAAAAAGCTGTATGAATAATTAAAACGGACAAGGAAACATTTCATTCTAAAGGCGCGATTTTAAATTGCATGGTTTTAAATATACGAGGATCTTTACACCCCCACCCTCATATGCGATGTTTCACTTTTCGACACATCCAGTAGGTTGTCGATTCTAATACAGGCCTGATGTTATAAATGAATAGACGCCTTACGCAACAAATCAAGGCCATGAGAATGCGTTAAGTACGATCAAAGTGATACATCATTGCAATAAAATGGTGCTATAAAACGTTCAGTCTCTGAACAATGTCTGTCCGTTAGACTTAGACATTCATTCTGCCGTTTGATCTTGCTTCAGGTGAAAGTCTTACTTGAATCTTCTCGGTGACAGATTTTGTGTCAATGAAGTAAGAAATGAGAAAATAAAACGAAAATGGAAGTTTTTATTTAAAACACCCAACAAAAACTAAGACAAGGACAAAAACAACAACAACAAAAGAAGAAGAAAAAGGCCCTACCACTGGCTCCTTCCAACAACCGACAAGCGTTTCTTTAAATTACGTAACAGTAATATATAAGCACATAACACCTATAGAACAGCAATGAGGGAACTGTGTTTGTTTGTGGTCAATTATAAAGATGACCAGGGGGGGGGGCGGGGTAAAAAGTATATATATATATATATATAAATATATATATTATATATATATATATATATATATATATATATATATATATATATATATATATATATATATATATATATATATATATATATATATATATATATATATCAAAATATTAATTTAATTACCCCACCTGACTGGCAGAAAAAATTAATGTAATTTGTACATGGCATATATTTTAGTCTTCACGTACGCTTGTGAGACCAGGACCTTCACAAGAGAATCAGAGAGAACAATACAAGCTACAGAAATGGGTTACTTTCGAAAACTTTCGGGCATCAATCCACAGAAATCATGTTACATGAGATAGTGAGGAACAGAATGAGGCATGCCAATGGGCCCTATGAAGATCTTCTCACCACTGTGAAAAAAGCTAACTGGGATGGTATGGGCACATAACAATATTAACATGACTTGTAAAAATGATCTTTTAGGAAGAGGAAAGGCGGACAAAAAAGAGATGGGAAGATAACATAGAAAACTGGACAGGTCAAAAGCTGAGTGAAGCCCTTTGAATGACTGAAAAAAGATAAGGATGGAGGAAAGTGGTTGCCCTTTCATCCTTGGAGCTCCAACTGTCATCTAAGATTACGGGATAAGTAAGGTCATAAAGTGCGCAATAGCATGTGTGTGTGTGTGTGTGTTTGTGAATACATGTGTGTGTGTGTGTGTGTGTGTGTGTGTGTGTGTGTGTGTGTGTGTGTGTGTCTTATATGCTCATGTCAAAACTTCACTGATATTTTTTTTTTCATGATTTCCTCACCTGATTGAGAGTGGCGGGAATCATGACGACAGTCGCCAGCAGTATGTCAGCGATGCTGAGAGACACGATGAAGGTGTTGGAGACGGTCCTGAGGTTCCGGCTGTACCCGACCGCTACAAAGACCAGGATGTTACTGGCCGTGGTGGCCAGACAGATGAAGGACAGGACAAGGGTCGTGGCCACTGTGCCTGGGGACATCACCTCATGGTCGCCCGCAAGGGCTTCTGGGTACTGTGACGTCACCAGGATTCCAGGAAGAAGAATTGGGCTATTTATAAATCCTTAGGGTTTCGGCACGAGCTAGGCAGAGGTTTCCTGCCTTCACAAGAGGAGGAATTTGTATTTTTCTAACCGTATGTCCAGTTTGTATGATCTATAACAAGGCAATCGCTCATTACGAACACAAGTACAGTTTGTAAGTGTGAAAGCAGTGATGGCGTGTTAGTTCCTCATCTGTTTTAGACAGAGAAACAGTTGTAATCGATTGTTGGTAAATCCCGACAGTTTTCCAGTGAACATTCCAGGACAATCTTTTGCATTTACATCCTTGCAAAGTTATGGAGACGGGTTGGCAATTCTTCATTTATTCATAAATAGGCACTAGAAACGAATAAACACTGTAGCATAAAACAGCTAGACTTTGTATGATATGCTGGAATGCTGTGTGTCGTATTCTTGAAGTTGTTCAACGAAATGCCTTTGTTAATGTAAAAATCTGTAGGCACAACTAAAGTATCCACCACTTTAGAACAAACTTTTCATCACACGTTCATGGTAGAACGTCGTATTTTAAGTTAATGTGAAGCATAACTCCGTGATTTCCAAAATACGGATCTAATATGAAGACGTGATTATAAACTCCTCATATTATATTTTTGATGTAAGAATCCAATGTTCTGTAGTTATCCACTTCATGTCACGACCAGTAACAGAGGCAGGTAGAAGATGCGCAGTGTAGGTTCCCTCATCAGTAGAAAGACACAAGCAGTCAAAAGATGAATCGCTATGCTGGAAAGCTGATTGAATGCAGAAAAGCCCTGAAAAGAAACCAAAATCCAGATCTAAATAATATGATATTATAATAATGAAATTTTCATTAGGTAATTACAGTTTGATTGTGGCGTTCTGTTAGCACAGTAGGTACCGAGCTCGGCTAGGTAGCGGATGGCCCTAGTCCAAATCTCATATTGGGCGTGCTTGAACTCAAGTGTGTGTGTATTAGATGTACTTGTTTTTTGTGGTGGGGTTTGTTTGTTTTTTGGGGTCTTTTTTGTGTGTTTGTTTTTGTAATAACAGTTTTCAAGGGTCTTTGCCCATTTGGCTCGGTCCTATCGGACGTTCAGCTAAGAGGTTTAGTCTCTTACATTACCTACTTGTATTGATAGGTGCGTTAAACATATATACTTACTTTTAGATGTACACACACTATACAGTTTGTTTGCAATGAAGAATGGAAAATTTGTGGCTACCGACAGAGTTAAATAATCGTATACTTTTTGTAAACAACTGGAGCTACCGAGTGACAGATTTTCAAAGCGTATACAAATATTGAAATAATCTGATCTTAACCTTTTTAATCATAAACAAATGCATCGTATTATCCTATTTATTATTTTTTGGGGTGTGCTGTTGTCTTATCTATGCATATTATATGTGTGACAGTCCCTCACTTTCGCCGCCTAAAACTTCGGAACCACTTAACTTTCGAATTTGAAAAAATTAACGATGATTCAGAATCATTTAAATGGTGCACAGTTTTACTGATGAGTCTGAAGTTACTCTACTTTAATTTTCAGGTTTTCATTTGTTTCGTTTAGATCTAATCTTGGGATAGTCGTCCTTTTAGACGCCATTGTGAACAAGTGAAGTTTCTGTTCACAATGAGTGCCCACTCATTCTACAGCTTTGAAATTCTGGAGTGTACAACCACGAAAGTGGAATAGAGAATCAACCTATGCATCTTTTATATATTTGGCAACTAGGAAACTCATGTGTCACTTTTCTCTCAAGATTTATTGTTCCTTTCTAGTGGCGTATAAATATAGTAGACCAATGATATTCAGTTGATGTTAATGCACCGATCATTCCTTTCATCGAAAGGGGGCCCAGCTAGATAAGTAATAGTTCCGTGCTGAAAGAACATTTACCTTGTGGTCCAGAGGGAATACAGTACTGTAGTCAGTTTAAAGAGTTGGTGGTTTGAGTGCAGTGTTCTTTGGATATCATACACAATACTTGTTTGTTCAATTAACTGTTAGTTAGTCCTTCAGATGCTTTTTAGAGAAAGCATGAAACAAAATAGATACGAGGATTGTAGAATCAGTTACTCACATTCTCCGACTTTTAAAAAATGCGGAGAATTTTATAAGAAACAATTTTTTAAAACCAACATTTCTTGTTTCACGTTTTTACTTTACAAAATTTCTTCGCTAGGGATAACGAAAACGAGGAGCACTTATGTCCTGACGTTTTATTTTGTTGTTGTTTTTTTTTATATTGTTTTTGTTTTTGTTTTGTCTATTTCGCTCCACAAATCCGACCTGTTCGCATTCGAAATAGTGACAAAATAAAATAGAACTTTCAAATAGAATCTCCACAACTAAATTCATTCTGATTTTGAAGTACTTTTACAATAATATGTGTCTCTCTAGAGGCTCGTCTTTGATCTGCAAACAACAAATAGACTCTCTGCAATCTTCCTGTCTACCTGTTTTTGGATGTAAATCTCGAGGACAAAGGCACTGAGCAGCCTAAACAATGCTGTCTCTTTTACTGAGTGAGTATTCTTAATTTAGTCATGAAGACATTATCGATTCTGTAAACACTTTGAAGGTGGAGATTAAAGGTGGATGAAAGAAAACATAGACATGCGACTACCAGGATACATTTGTCTGGGATTCTGTTACAGGCTGGTTCTTAAAGTACACGTTGGTGTGGCATCGCGGTGAAATCATGCGCTGGTATTAAAATAGATTATTAAATCAAATAAAAGGCATTTTCCCACCATCTTGGTAATTATTATCGATTTTTGGGGGCTCAGCATATTTTAGGTCTTTTTAAAAACCTTGTGTGTATTTCTCTGATTAACTTTGATCAAAGACACACACAATGATAACAAATGTGCAGTTTCCAAGGACTCTTAAGCTTTTGAAGTCATCACACTTTGGCTGACGTTGATTTCTGCATCTCTGACACCAGGCAGCCTCCACTGCCTCCATCAATCGTAAATATCTTGACTTCTGTTTACAGTAGATAGGTATTTTTAATCAAAAGCAAGACAAATTAAGATTATAACAATAACTCAATATGCTCAAAAAAATCATGAGCATCTGATTTCACCACATCGTGACACTGTTAATGTTTAGTCTTGAATCCGCTACGATTGAGGGCTTACATGCTTTCAAACCACGTTTCAGAATCACATTTTTAACGTTCGTATTGTTTCGACGAGAAAAGCATGCCAGAAATAATCATACATGATAATGAACATGTCTTACTTTATCCTATTTTATAAATAAAGAACGTCACAAATGAAATGTAAAAATATAATCTAAATTTAGTCGATGGTAACACATTTAAATGGGTTTCTTTAGTACCCACCCACGTGAATGTTGCGAGAGCATACTAAGTATTTATTGTTCTAATTCCTGTAATCCATGTAACGGGAGATGGGGCTAGAATATTTCTACGCAGTTTAATTTTAAGTTTAAGTACACGGCTGTATTTCAGTCACGATGTTTTATAATTTATTGGTGTTGGGGCTTTTAATGTAGCATTAAACAGCATTAACACTCGTGTGCACCGACACATGCCCCCATCCACACCCACACCCAAACACACGCACAGACACACACACATACACACACATACACACACATACACACACACTCACACACATACAAATACACACACACACAGATACACACACACAAACACAACACATATACAAACACACACACACACACACACATATACAAACACAACACACTCACAAACGTAAATAAACGAACAAACAAACAAACAAACACCCATACACTAAGCTATTCTTATCTTAAAGGACACATTTCTTTTCATATTAAGCACAAAGTCGAAACGTATGACCATCAGCAAGCAATACAAAGGTGAATATATCAGCTCTATGTAGATCTACTGTATTTTGTAATGTGATAAGGGTAACAAGTGCCTGTGATTAAGCGTTGTTTAATTCATTAGCTTCACGTTTTTAGTCCAACTTTAGATTTAATATACTCACATGTGTCGACCAAGTAACAAAGTAGGTCACTTAGTAAGTGGTATTTTCTCACTAGCTAAGTTTTAAAAAAACCTTTTCAAATCATTAGTTTTACGGCTCTCACAACATAATAAGGTCATACAAGTGCCGAAAATTAAAGATGTAACAAGAAAGTAAGACACACAAAAAAGGAGAGATAAAGACCACAATATACATATTTGATAAAAACATAAAAAGCAAATCACACCAGAGCACTCGTTAAATAGTTACTAACTTAGGTTTAATTAACATAAACGTACTCAAAATCAAAAACTGATTTTATACAATTACTATTCGTAGTGTACACTTGGTGTAAATCTAAGGCAATAGGCAAGTGTGAATAAATGACACGATCATCTAAAAACATTTCAGGGCTCTGCAATTGGAGCAGATTGTTTTATACCGTTGTGAATTATTTACATTTTTTTCTTTCTTCTGTATTTACCTAATATACACCCCTTAATGATTCTTTAATGAGGTTACACGCCTAAAAACAGCAATAGAAAAAGATAACGTCTTAAATATCCAATCCCACATAGCACCTAGATTTGATTTAGCGTTAAATGTTACTTTCACACAACGTTCCTACACTGTTCTACTTCATGTAAATTCCTTTTGATTTAAGTATAAAGCAGTGTGGTTGATTTCATAAACCAAGCCTGGATTCAGTAGTCGTATTTCGCGGAGTCTGAAGCGACGATCATAAGATATAAACCTCGGGCATTAGTGTTTTCTCGCAATGTTTGACAGTAAACATGATCTTGATCTGTTCCGTCATATGGAATGACACGTAGCTTTAAAGAGAAGCAGAATTGTACTTTTTGTAATGGGATCAAAATATTAAAAAGCAAAATAAGTGTACTTTTGCTTTGGAAGGTTTTCTTTTTCTTAAAGAAATGAACTTTAAAAAAAAGATTCATTATGGGCTGATTTACGCTCTAGGGAATTAATAATGATCATTTATTTCTATGTTTCTTTCAGCAAAAAGAAGAAGAGTCTTTTGTCCGTGCTATCTTTACCTTCTTAAATGTCTGTTGCCACTGAAAAACATGGCTTTTTTTCAAATTGGTAAACATATAATTGGCCTAACTATGAAAAAGGCCAGCGCAGGACTGCTTTATACGGCTCTCTCAAAATAGAGCTAAAGAAAAGCACCCCAAAATCATCCTAGACAAAATCGACTCTTTTCTAAATTAAGCAACTTACTTTGGACTTTCGTGCACTGTCTAGATGCTTTGAAAATCTCAGACGTAATATTTTGATTGAACATAAAATGCTCTGTCATTAAGCGCCGTACAAATCCGCGATGTATGTTTGATTCTGTTCCGCCAATTTCTACAGAAAAGCGGTAAAAATCTTCGTACACGTACACAGCCCTTTGACAAGCGAGCAATGTAAGTCTTGGTTCTTTCTCTCTGACTCACGAGAACTCGCATTTTCTTGGCTCTCTTTCTTTCCTTCTTTCTTTCTTTATTTCTTTCGGTCTGTCTTTCTGTCTTTCTTTCTTATTTTCTATTTCGATTTTTTTTCTATTTCTTTCGAGGCGCCATGTTTTATCATACAGAAACTGCCCTCCCGGGACCGGGCTCAGCCGTGTGGACAAAGGGCCTCTGTGAATAGTGACTGTCCGGGGGTCACTCACTCGTCGAACGTTCAGAGAGCTTGTGAGGCGATGGGGGTACATTATAGTAATAATATCACGTTTGAGAGGCAGACAGGGGTCGGGAAGTATGGATCTGTGTAGAAAAAAAGAGGTGAAAACGAAAG